CCCCCCCCGCAACCTACAACAACAGCCTTCCAGAGTCTGTAGAAGGGAGGTTAAAGGTCCTCCCACACAGTATTTATACGCAAGCGTAAATCATGATTGAGGGCACTATATCATGCCGAGAGCCCAGTCCCTTTTTCGCTCCCGAAAGCTCCTCCTCTTGCGGCCAATCAGCGGGCCTCGCCCTTTCCAATGGCCAATGGCAGTGAGCATGGGGGCGTGGCTGGACAGCTGGGGGCGCGGCCTGGCGCTGAGAGAAGCGGTGGGGCAAGCCGGGGGCTCTAGTGAACAGCGCAGCCGGACAGGGATCACCGGCTGGCGGCAAGCGGAGGCGGCCGGGGCCAGGCGGTCTCCGAGATGTCACGATGGCTGTGGCCATGGTCGAACTGTGTGAAAGAGCGGGTCTGCCGCTACTTGCTGCACCATTACTTGGGGCACTTCTTTCAGGAACACCTCAGCCTGGACCAGCTCAGCCTGGATCTGTACAAGGGCAGCGTTGCTCTGCGGGATATCCACCTGGAGACCTGGGTGAGAAGCCAGGCCCGAGCTCGGGCAGGCGCGGAGGTCGGGAGCGCAGCGACCTGAGGCTGCCAAAGGATCAATTCCAGCCGAAAGAGCAGGCACCGGCGTGAGAGGCCAGGGGAGCAGGGCCCTCTCCAGGAGTCGGAGGCACCCCGCTGGTGGCTTCAGTTCTTTGCCAGAGCAACAAGCTGGAAGGGAAGGAGTCCGGGTCTCCACTTCACCGGAGGAGAAACAGGCTAGGAGAGGGGATGTCGCTTGTCTGGAGAATGACAGCATGGTCACATTGAGTTTGGGGGCTGAGTTGAGGGTGATACCTAGGTGCTAGAGTGGGTGAAGAGAAAGCCCAGGAACGGGGACTCCCATGTAGTGGGGCCAGGGCAGCGACAGATTTGGGCTGAAGCAGCTGGTAGGAAAGGCTGTCGTGGTCCACAGCCCTGTGGGGGCACTTGTGGAAAGTGCGCCCCGACCTCCTGACCCCAGGATCCTGGGCCGGTGGGTGGGGTTCGCCTGCGGATGTGGATGTCAACAACGGCGTCAGCACCCGTGTTGATCAACACCTCGTGTGACTCCGCCGCTGTCTACTTCCTGCTTTAGGGAGAGTAGGAGGGACCAAGCCTGGGTTTAGGGAGGGACTTGGGACCCATCATCTCTACCTGGAGGGCAGCCCTCTAGGAAGGATGTGAAGGTCTGGCCTTGGGCAACGAGGAAGTTGAAAGAGATGCTGGGGAAGCCAGAGTGAGCCTGGGTCTTGTCCAAGGCTTGAGGCTGGGGGGTGGTGGGTGAGGGGCCCCTGACTCACAGCTCAGCTGACCTGGGGAGTAGCCCAGGAGCCACCAATTAAAGGCACCAGTTTAAGGCTGGTACTGGGTCAGCCCTTAAGGTCCAGAGCAGCAGGTTAGGCGTGGGGGCAGGGCCTTCTCATTTTTTGGCTGGCCCCAGGGATCTGTAGTTCTGGGAAGGAAGAGCTAAGGCTTAGAGGTGGCCAGAACTTGGATGCAAATAGGGGAGTGGGGAGCTGAGCCCTGAGTTGGAGGCACTTCCCAGCAGCCTGTGGTCTGTGAATTCCAGTGTAGATCTCCTTGGACCTCTGAACTTGGCCTCTTAGATTGGCCTGTAAGATGGCCCAGACCTCTGAACTTCCCTTTCTCTTTTCTACAACAGAAAACACCCCTATTCCTTTGTGCCCTGCCCTCTTGTTGGGGACCCATGGGACTCCTAGCTAGCCTGCTTTCCTCCTGACCTGGAGAAAATGCAGGCACTATATTGCTAACCAGCCGTCCTCCCAGGTGCTCAGCCTGCAGCTCACCTTAAAGGCCCCCAAGAGGCTGTCTGTCTGGGAGAGAGGCCCAGGTCCCACCCTCAGTCCTCACAGTACAAGGGGTGACAAGTAGTCCCTTCTTTCCAGACCTCAATTTCCCCATCCATTGGCCTCTGGGTAGGAAATTTGGACTCTGTGGCTCTGTTGGTACCTGTTCATTTACGAGTCAGGCAGATGCTTACTGAAGCCCTCTCTGGTATTAGCACCCAGAGCACCTGGGGTCGCAGGGAGAAGGAGAGTGTGCTGCTGCCCTTGAGGAGCTCCCAGGCTGGTGAGGGTGCAAAGCCAGCACAGATGTCTTCACTAGGGGTTTAGCCTCGTGCCTCAGAGCTACACCATGTGTCTGGGGTTCAGAGGCTCCTTCCCACCTCAGGTCAGCCCTCTCCTGGACATTCTTCCCTTGAACTCTGTTTGCCCAGGGTGAATGTGGGGTGCTGCTGTTCTCTCTGCCAGGCCTGTGTGTGTGTTATCCCCATGTCTAGAACATATACCCATGGAGCCTTGGCATGTGCACATAAAAGTTGCTCAATAAACTTTTTTTGGGTACTGGAGATTGAACTCAGGGGCACTCAACCACTGAGCCATCACTAGTCCTATTTTGCATTTTATTTAGAGACAGGATCTCACTGAGTTGCTTAGCGCCTCACTTTTGCTGAGGCTGGCTTTGAACTTACAATCCTCCTGTCTCAGCCTCCTGAGCCTCTGGGATTACAGGGGTGCGCCACTGTGCCTGGTCTCAGTAAACAATTTTAACTTCACATAGAGGGAGACATTTGAGCTGGCTTAAAGGGTTAAGTGGCTTTAGATAATGGAGCAGGCCAGGAGCAGGGAACAGCATGAGCCAAGGTAGGACCTTGTAGATAGCACATGGAGGGACAGGGAAAGCTGAGTGCTCTGTGTGACAGTAACTGGAAAGGCTGTGGCTGTCAGCTGAATGTGGGGTTTCACTAAACCACTTTGTCCCCACTTTGTTCCAGTCTGTAAATGAGGTTCTGGAGTCACTGGAGTCGCCACTAGAGCTGGTGGAAGGCTTTGTGGGCTCCATCCAGGTGGCTGTGCCCTGGGCTGCGCTGCTCACTGATCACTGCACCGTGCGCGTGTCAGGCCTCCAGCTCACCCTGCAGCCCCGCCGGGGACAAGGTGAGGGCAAGGCAAGGCCAGGGCCGGGCAGTCTGGAGCTGACCGAGCGCGTCTGCCCTAAGAACCCTTTCTTTTCCACAGGGCCAGGGGCTGCTGACTCGCAGAGCTGGGCCTCCTGCATGACCACAAGCCTGCAGCTGGCTCAGGAGTGTCTGCGGGAGGGGCTCCCTGAGCCCTCTGAGCCCCCACAGCCTCTGGAGGGACTGGAGATGTTTGCCCAGACCATTGAGACTGGTGAGCAGACCCCTCCGGGGCCATAGGACAGGGGGCTCAGGCAATAACCCTGCTGCCCAGCTGGGAGACTACCATCTTGACACCCCACCTGATCCAAGACCACCCCCACCCCCCAGTGCTGCGGAGAATCAAGGTGACCTTCCTGAACACTGTTGTGAGGGTGGAGCACTCACCAGGTGATGGGGAGCACGGCGTGGCTGTGGAGGTCCATGTACAGAGGTAGGGGCCAGCCACATGGGGTGGGCTCGGGGACAGGGGGAGTCTGCTGGATGGTCTTGCCCTGGCCCCCATCCCTGGACCAGGCTTTTGGGAAGTGGCAGGGCAGGGCAGGGTAAGGCTGGGCGGTAGTGAAGTTGTAGGGGTCGGCTGTGTTTGGAGCCTGGAACTGTCGTCCAGGCCTGGAGAAACTGAGCCCCAAAGACAGGTTAGCTGCTGAGGGTCAGAGGACTAAGGCCTGGCCTGAGCCCCCAAGGTGGACATGATGGTCCAGGATGGCCACCATGGGCATGACAGGCAGCTCTGCAGGCTGGGCTCCCCAACCCGTGCCCCTAGAACAGAACACTGTGTGGAGAAAGGGCTCCAGGCCTGGGGTGGCCAGGACAAGGGCTGACCCTACACTCCCCAGACTGGAGTACTGTGACGAGGCAGTGCGGGACCCAAGCCAGGCGCCACCGGTAGATGTGCACCAGCCACCAGCCTTCCTGCACAAGCTGCTGCAGCTGGCAGGGGTGCGTCTGCACTTCGAAGAGTTCCCCCCACAGGTGAGCTGATGATTACCACACCCTTGAGCCCCCTCACCCTGCTCCCATCCCTCAGACCATCACCCACTTTTCTCAACTCTCTGCCTCCAGGTAGAACCGCCGGAGCCTCCCTTGCAAATCGGCAGCTGCTCAGGGTACATGGAGCTGATGGTGAAGCTGAAGCAGAACGAGGCCTTCCCAGGCCCCAAGGTGGGTCCCAGGCCCCGGGGTTGGAGCAGTGTGTCCCATCCCAGACTCATCCTTAGCAATGCTGCCCATGTCCAGGCCAGAGGGACGGTGTCAAGCGGAGGAAGTTATTACTTTCTTTGCAACTAGAGAAACTGAGTCCCAGACTCAGTTGTGGCCAGGTTCATCAGCTAGTTGTTAACAGATGTCAGTGTGGCATCCTGATTCCCCAGCATAAGGACAGGTGGGCGGCACATCTCAAGGGGGCGGGTGGTGAATTTAGACTTCATGGCTGTCCCTTTGGCACCCAGTTGGAGGTGGCAGGACAGCTGGGCTCTCTGCACCTGCTTCTGACCCCACGGCAGCTCCAGCAGCTTCAGGATCTGCTTAGTGCTGTTAGCCTTGCAGGTGAGGCCTCTGGGCGGTCCAGGGGGTGGATGGCAGGGAGTGCCAGCCAGGTTGGATTGAAATGCCCTCCCCTAGACCCCGAAGGCCTGGCTGACAAGCTGAACAAGAGCCGCCCGCTCGGTGCTGAAGACCTGTGGCTGATCGAGCAGGACCTGAACCAGCAGCTGCAGGCGGGTGCTGTGGCCGAGCCTCTCAGCCCAGAGCCCCTCCCCAACCCTCTTGTCAACTTGGACGGCACTGGTGGGTGTAGGGCAGATGCAGGTTGGAGGGGCAATGTATGTGGGTGCAAGAGTCCAGGGGCCCAGCTTCTGTCCCTCACACCTTTCACCTTGTCCCTAGACCTCTTCTTTTCCATGACTGGCCTCACGAGCAGTGTGACCTCAGCAGTCTCTGAGCTCTCCCTCTCTGATGTGGACCTGGGCTCCTCTGTGCATAGCAACATGGCTTCCCGCCGACTCTCTGCCCCTACCCCCGCAGCTGGTGAGTTGAGTACCCTGGACAGCCCTCCAGAGGTGAGGAGGGCTGAAAGAGGCCTGGATGCCTAGGATCTCAGATGCATGTAGTAGACCCCAGTGATGCCTGGAGACACCTGCCACTGTGATGTGGCTCCCCAGAGACCTAATTTGGGAAGCTGGTGATGTAATGGATGGGGCCTCAGGATCTGAGCCAGCACTCTTGGTCAGGCATTTAAGCTCTGAGACTGATATATATATATAAAAGATCTGGATGCTGTTTGGTTGGTGTGAGAGCTTACTGTGGGTCAGGCACTGGGCTGGGTGCCTATCATACCAATGAGTCCTTCTAGCACCTTGAGGAGGTTAAACAGCCTGGGCGGAGGGCCTGGTGTACAGAAGGTGTTTATTGTCACCTTTGCCTGACTGAGCCCCCTGCCAGAGCTATATGGTGAGGCAGATTTGGCCTCCCCCCATAGTCCAGCTTGGCCAGCTCTGGCTGACTCTCACACTCGCTGGGGTGCCCCTGATGAAACCTCTGTCCCCTCAGGCAAGGCGGCCCCCACACCCATTCCGGACACCATGCGCCCTGATTCGCTGCTGAAGATGACCCTGGGGGGTGTGACCCTGACTTTGCTTCAGACTTCTGCCCCATCTTCTGGACCACCTGACCTCGCCACCCATTTTTTTGCTGAGTTTGATGCTGCCAAGGATGGGCCGTTTGGCTCCCGAGAATTCCACCACCTCCGGCCGCGCTTCCAGAAAGCCTGCCCCTGTAGCCACGTCCGGTATAAGCCACAAGCCCGAGGAAGGGGCCTGTAAAGAGACTCCTGGAATCCCCAAGCCCACCCTCTGATGCCTGTCTTCTTCCCTGCAGGCTCACAGGCACAGCTGTGCAGCTGTCCTGGGAGCTGCGGACCGGCAGTAGGGGCCGGCGGACGAGCAGCACGGAAGTGCGCTTTGGGCAGCTGGAGGTGCTGGAGTGCTTGTGGCCCAGGGGCACTTCGGAGCCCGAGTACACAGAGGTGAGGGTGGAGGCAGGGCCTGGGGGTTAGGTGGGCTCCCAGGCCTACCTGACCCTCTTCACCGGCCATGTCCCATCCCAGATCCTGAGTTTCCCCAGTAACATGGGCTCCCAGGCCTCAGCTCGGCCCTGTGCCCACCTGCGCCACACACAGACTCTGCGCCGGGTGCCCAAGGTAACCACCTCCCATCCCAGGCTCTGTTCTTCCCAGGGTCATGGACCCCATGCTCCGTCCATGCTGTCCCTTAGCCTGATTGCTAAGAGTCTCAACAGGGCTACTCTCTGCTGAGCCTCTGAGGTGGGAGGAGCAAATATTGGGTGACTTTTATTAAATAAACCAGCGAGTCGTCCAACAGGGCAGGGTATTGAAAGTCCCAGTCTCCTTGGGCCCCTACCAAGCTCTTCCACCATGAGGAAGGACTCAGGTTTTATTTTTGTTTGAGGAAGCGCCTTCCTGTCCTGCTCTCACCTGCCCTGCAGCCCTCACCAGTCCAAAACTCTTGCCCCCACACAGAGCCGGCCCCGGCGCTCCATTGCCCGCCATTGCCACTCAGAACTGGCCCTGGACCTAGCCGATTTTCAAGCAGATGTGGAGCTGGGGGCCCTGGATCGCCTGGCTGCCCTGTTGCACATGGCCACCACACCCCCTGAGCCTCCTGCTGGCCTTCTGGTGAGACATCCTAATGAACTGGGATGGGGAACAGAGCTCTGATCCTCTGGCCTTTGACCATAGTATCAAGGGCCCTGGCATCTCTGACGCCTGACCATTCTGCAGGCAGAGCCTCCACCAGCCACTGAGCAGCAGACAGTATTTCGGCTTTCAGCACCCCGGGCCACACTAAGGCTGCGATTCCCCATCGCTGACCTGAGGCCCGAGAGGGACCCTTGGGCAGGCCGGGCTGTGCGGGCTGAGCAACTGCGGCTGGAGCTGAGTGATCCTCAGTTCCGGTCCGAGCTTAGCAGTGGGCCTGGCCCCCCAGCCCCCACCCGCCTGGAACTCACCTGCTCTGACCTGCATGGTAAGAGCCCTTGGGAACAACACCCGGGGCAGGGGGCCTGGGCCTTGGGGAGAGGTGGACTTGGGGCAAGTGGGTCACAGTTAGAGCAGACCCTGGCACAGGCTCTTACCAGTTTTTGGGAACACTAGCGTGACTATCCCTGGCCTCCTGGGCAACAGGCAGAGGGGACCCTTTATCCGCAGTCTGTGAGTGTCTGACCGGACCCAGCAATGGGGAAAAATGGAGAGAGGTCTCAGTGATGATCCTCACCCCTCTCCATCTCCTCCAGGAATCTATGAAGATGGAGAAAAGCCACCTGTCCCCTGCCTCCGTGTCTCCAAAGCCCTGGACCCCAAGAGTCCTGGTCATAAGTACTTCCTCCCCCAGTAAGTGGAGTCTCTGGAAGGAGCAGCCGGAGGGGAGGGTCCTGCCACTGGAGTGCAGGAGGCCAGCCGAGGCCCGGGTCCCAGGGCCCCTACAGGCCAGTGACAGGCCTTTGCCCTGGCAGGATAGTGTTGACCCTGGACCCCCAGTCCGGCAGCACACAGTGGGAGATGGCCCCAGAGAAGGGAGAAGACCTGGAGCTGTCCACCGAGAGTCCGTGCGAGCTGCGGGAGCCTGAGCCCTCGCCCTTCTCCTCTAAGAGGACCATGTATGAGACGGAGGAGGTGAGCCTGCCCCGACCCCTCTTCCCTGCGCCCCCCCTGCAGCGCTGCCTTGGGAGCCACCTATGTGACTGTGGTTCAGTGACAGGACACCCTGGGGTGGACATGAGGTGACCCAACACGAGTGGGAGGATTTTGTTTCTTTCATTATTTCAGGCCAATAAGGGACTCTGAAGCCCCCACCTGTGCTCAGGGGCAGGGAGGGAAGCTCCCTGGCAAGGGCAGGCCCGGTGGTCGGGAAGATCAGGCCTGCAGCCCGGCTCAGCTGTGTTGGCAGTTTATACTCGGGCCTCAGGTGCTCTTTGAAGTTGCTGAGCGAGGGGCAGCAGAGGGACTGCTCTGTGGGCCACACTGCCTGTATCGGTGGCAGGCCGGGCCTCTCCGTGGCTCTGACCACTTGGAGTGTTGCCTGCAGATGAATTTTCTCTTCTGGGAAGTAGGCACAAGGAGCTCTGTCTCAAGGGCCCTTGTGAGGGTGAAAGAGTCTGTGCCCTCAGAGCAAGGTTGGCATGCCACTAGTGCTGGTCCCAGATGGGCATCACCCATTCACACAGAGAAGGGCTCCTGTGAGTGATCTGGAGTAGGGACAGGCCCGGCCAGGCTGAGATGACTGTCCTGCTGGGGGTCTCTTCGCCCTGTCCAGATGGTGATCCCTGGAGACCCTGAGGAAATGAGGACGTTCCAGAGCCGGACTCTGGCGCTGTCCCGCTGTGGCCTGGAGGTGCTTCTGCCCAGCGCCCACATCTTCCTGCCCAGCAAGGAGGTCTACGAGAGCATCTACAACAGGTGGCAGCACGGGGCAGGCGGGCTGGGCCGGGGGCCGGACCCTGTCCTCCCTCACCTATCCTCCCCCCTCCCTTCTCAGGATCAACAATGACCTGCTCATGTGGGAGCCCGCGGACCTGCTTCCCCCCCCAGACCCCGCCACTCAACCCCCTGGCTTCCTGGGCTCCTCCGGCTTCTGGCACGACAACTTCAAGATGTGCAAGTCAGCCTTCAAGCTGGGTACGAGGGGTGCTCTAGCCGGGCTGACGGGAGGACCCCACGTGTGGGCAGGGCTAGGCCAGCCCTGCCGGTCTCCATCCCACCAGCCACCTTAATCTTGCCAGACTCTGACTCGGATGATGAGGACACCCACTTCTTCTCGGTGGGGGCCTCAGGTGTCCACCAGGCCCCCGCCCCTGAGCCCCGACGCCGTCACTCCCAGAGTACCTTCTCTACGCTGGTGACGGTGCTGAAGGGTCGGATCACAGCCCTCTGTGAGGCCAAGGTGAGGGCAGCCCTGGCAAGACAAGCCCTTGCTCCAGACCCCCGTGACAGGGGGCAGCACAAACATGGCCGCTCCAGGGCAGGGATATGGAGAGCCAAAAGCCAGGTGGCCACCAGCACCCACCCGCCACCCAGTTCCATTGTGCCTGTCAGCAACTTCCTGACACCCCCTCTGGGTGAAACCATGCTGGGGGGCAGGTGGGAATTTGGTCCCTTAGACGGAGCAGGAGGCAGGGATCATTCTCATATGTCAGAAGAGGCAAGTGCTGGCAGGTAGGCCTCTAGGTGACACTTCTCCCAAGGCCTGGAGCCACCAAACGAAGCAGGTGGCACAGGTGGGTGCTCTGACTCCGCAGGACGAAGGTGGGAGGCGGCTGGAGTTCGCACATGGGGAGCTGGTGCTGGATGTGGAACGGGGCACCATCTTCAGTGTCTCTCAGTACCGCGGCCAGCCAGGGCTCGGCTACTTCTGCCTCGAGGCTGAAAAGGCCACACTCTACCACCGAGGTGTGAAGGGTGGGGGGCTCTCTGGGAATGGGCCCCTGAGCAGAGTGGGTGGCCAGTGGCCTTGGCATGGGCTCAGTGAGATCCCTCTGCAGCGGCTGTGGACAACTACCTGCTGTCCAGTCACCTGGAACTGCCCAGCTTTACTCCCCCAACCCAGCTGGCCCCAACCATCTACCCCTCAGAGGAAGGGGTGACTGAGCGGGGAGCCTCAGGCCGCAAGGGCCAGGGCCAGGGCCCTCCCATGCTGTCTGCCGCCGTGCGCATCCACCTGGACCCCCACAAGAATGTCAAGGTACAGCTTTTCCTGACTCCACCTTCCCGCCTGGCTGGGCAGCCACCTCCTCAGGGCCTGCTGGGGTTGGGCTCCCCACTGCTCTGACTGCTCCCCCCCCTCAGGAGTTCCTGGTGACACTAAGGTTGCACAAAGCCACCCTGCGCCACTACATGGCCCTACCTGAACAGAGCTGGCACTCCCAGGTGAACAGAAGGGGCCTGGGAAGTCACTTGGCCCAGGACTCTGGACTTTGGATTGGGTGGGCGGGTCAAAGGGGTTGAAGCTGGTGAGGCATACCAGCTGGGCTGGAGCTGACCTTGGCTGGACCTCCTAGCAAGGGGTGTGGTGCACAGCTCAGGGGCAGCAGGTGGGGTGCTTGGTAGTGGCCAGGACAGGGAGGTATTAGAAGAGGGGGCTGTCTCATGCTCATTATCCCTCCCTGGCCTGGCTTCCAAAGCTGCTGGAGTTCTTAGATGTGCTGGATGACCCCGTGCTGGGCTATCTGCCCCCAACAGTCATCACTGTCCTGCACACACATCTGTTCTCCTGCGCTGTGGACTACAGGTACCCAGGCTGGGTGGGCGTGGGTCAGGGCCAGAGCTGGGCTGGGGAAGGAGCCAGGGGCAGGCTTCAGGTGTAAGGAGCCTGCCCCAGCCCAAGTATGTCCCCTAGGCCCCTCTACCTCCCTGTTCGTGTCCTCCTTACTGCTGAGACCTTCACCCTCTCCAGCAACATCGTCATGGACACATCCACCTTCTTGCTCAGGTACGCAGGCTGCCCCACATGCCATCA